GAACTAAAAAGTCTGAATGTGTATGATCATAGTTAATAGAGGAGATGGTTTGGAAACTCATTAGCATTACAATAAACCTCACTATCTATGTTTTTGTTAAGGTTTATGCAAAAATGTGGTCTTTCATCGTCACGTGCATATTGTATTTTTGCTCAATCAGCCAATAGCAACGGTTTTGTCCAATTGCCCATCCATGACTTTAACAATAGGACATTTTGAACATTCCTATTGGTTGACTTGAGAAAAATACAATACGCACGTGACGATGAAAGACCACATTTTTGCATACTGCCTGAACAACATAGATAATGACGTTTAATTGTGATTTTATTGTAATGCTAACGAGTTTCCAAACCATCTCCTCTATTAACTATGGTATGATTGACCTCTTTGCTACAGTAATGTATGTTCCTCGAATAGTTTATGTATGTTACTGTTGTCAGTGTCGTAGCCAGCACAACAATTTAGTCCCGCTATGCAAATTCAAAATTATTATCATTATACCAGCAGTTTTGAAACCACAGGCCGCCCAACCCCGGGACATACCGGGGAATTTAACAATAACCAAGTGTTAAAAAACATTAATTCCCCCGCCTCTGGGGCAAACTGGTCTGTTAAAAACCCCGTACAGCCGGGATTCAGTGTACCTAAACCATTCCGCATCATGCATGCATTTGGGTTACCGGTCTTCCGCAACTTCTGGATCGAATTTCCTTCAACTGATTCGAGGTCGGTGTTTAAACAATGTATATAGCCACCTACCTACCGATTAGTCGCCAAGATTATTATTAGTCGCCAAGTCTGGCTCAGCTTGCTGTGAGTTTTTAAGGAGCGAAAGAAAAACTGAAATCTGAAAACAATAGAGCAAAATGTTTAAGAGAAAAAATGTTAAGCTGCCCGTGTTTTATCCGACGCGCAGTGCATTTTACTATATTATTCTATCAATGGAAAAGGCGATGCCTGAGGCTTATTGAATATTAACAGCAAAGGATGGCTTAGTAGGGACACCGCGCACATTATGCTCGAAATTACGTTCTATTCCATAAGTCCTTTGACCTATTATTCCCAAAATTGGTCTACTTCAAATCACACAAAGGCCCGAAGACGGGCGAAAATAAGAATTTTATTAATATAATGGATGTGGAGCTGGAAATTTCGTCAAGATTTTCGATCTTATTTGAAATTTGCATAATAGATTAAAGGAACAGATAATGCATAACGCTATTAGTCCAAAAATTCTACGTGCACGACGTATTCAGAGACGGTACACACATGCATGGCAAGGCAATTTAAGCCGAGAAGTATGATAACTATTTCCAGGTAGATTGTGGGCGACTCAAATCATTGCTCTTTTACATGCCTCAAATGTCGGAGCTTAACTCGAGCGTCGAATATTTTCAATGACTTCGAGTTAAGCCCCTCTTTTTTCAAGGGGCTTAACTCGAACTTTCCAAGTTGTGTTTATATCTTCGAGTTAAGCCCTTGACGAAAATGGGTGTGGTTTGGGCGTGACGGGGCTTAACTCGAAAAGGGCTTATTATAGGCTTTATGCTGCCACTTCCGAGTTTTCTATTTTGGCTTTTCTCTAAGATCTTTTCGTCTGGAATAAAGAACGTGGAGCCGAACGAGAAATTGAGAGAGAAAATGCTTTTAATACCATTCCGAGAACCAGGAGCTCTGTATTGGAAAAGTATTATGATTGCTCGCCATTTTGTGCTGGTTCTTCTCTTTTGTGTTGTCACCGAAACATCTTACAAGTTATTCTGGACCACATTCACGTGTCTTCTAGCTCTTTTCCATCACCTCAGAGTCAAACCATTTAAACATAATTGGTCAAATAATCTTGAGTCAATCTCGCTATTACCTTTGGTTGTTCTGGATATCATTAACCTGTACAAGTCAGTGTCAGTTGAAGCAGAGGTACTTGCACCAACTGACTCTTTCAAAGTGATACAATGGCTTGAAATTATTATCCTTGGGCTTTTCCCTGCCTCAGTTTGCCTTCTGTTCTCCTTTGCAATTATTTCTTTATTTGCTCGCCTTGTTCACGTATGCTATGGATCATTGTTTAGATGTATGTTCAGCGGGTTTTCTTTCAGTGTAATCAGGTACTCCGCCTACTGTAACGTACTCAAGAAGCGCTTTAATACACCTTTTCGATAATACGTTATGAATACGTAGCCTCGCTCTCTATTGAATCAATACGGAATGCAATTGGCTCACGATTAATGAAAATGAGGATCGAACTTGCATAAAAAAAGATATTGGACGCTGTCGTGCCCAAGACCTGGCGCGGCCAATAACTCAAACCCAAAAGCGCGAGAAAATAAAATAAATATACTGACTTATCACTTGAAACATTAATAAACTTCGTTCAATCATTTTGTCTTTAAATGTACAATAAAACAATTATTGGATTCTGTAGTATTCTTATAGTATGATAATACGAGGCACGCTCTTTGAGTGGTTATAACAATACTAATTTAATATCTATGGAATGCTAGCTATATACAAGTGACGTCACATAAGTAATGACGTCAGGTTATTACATCCCTCCCTGGTTTTGAATGGAAGTTCGTCGGGCATTGTTCATATGAAGTAATTTGAACTAATTAAAACCAATGATCTAAACTGAAGTATATATATTTAGTAATAAAACATAGTTAGTTTGAATATTGTTAATGCTGATATTCAATGTTTAGGCGTTCTGGGGGTCGCCTATTTTCTCTTGTGGGATAACGCCTAATTTCCGCAGGATGGTCCGGTGTTGGAATGTTGATCTCTTCATCGTCAAAAGGGTCTGGTACATGATCTTGTTATGTAGCTCGTTGCGTTTCTTGCCGTTATCATACTACCTTTGATCTTGACGATAGTGTATGGATGTTTGTTGTACGGTGAGGAAAGTTTATTGACGCGTTCTTGACGAACGAGAACAGTGTCACCCACTTGAACTCGGCAGGGGAAATTCCTGTGGTGGAATGTGGCGTCGCACGGTAGTTTCGGAGGAAAAGAAACAGTTCTTGCTTCCAATTCTTGTTTTCGAGGTGGGCAGCGCGGAGGGTTTTCTGAATTGTTCGCATGAAACGTTCAGACTCAGAATTGGCTTTGGGCCACTCTGGAGTGATCTTTCGGTGGTGAAACCCCATGTATTGCGCGAACTGGGCGAAAGAGTGACTTTGAAATGGAGGTCCGTTGTCAGACTTGATTTCTCTGGGAATGCCATGCGTGGATAAAATGCGGTCGAGTTTCGGGATGACGGTATTTGCTGAGGTGGGGCGAACAATCTCAACCTCGGGATAGCGCGAGTATTCATCGATTACCACGAAGAGCATATCGCCGGAGGGAAGAGGGCCACAGAAATCGACAGAGAGTTGTTGCCAAGGAGCCTGTAGTAACTCGGTCATGCGTAGGGGTTCAAATGGCCGTTGAACGACTGTTGCCTGACAGGCGAGACTGGTGTCAATTAGCTTTTTCGTAAGCCCATCGATTCCAGGGAACCAAATCTTTTCGCGGAGAAGCTGTTTGGTTTTGGTAAGGCCTTCATGACCTTCATGGGCGATGTGGAGAGCACGTTGACGAAGGGCATGTGGGAGGATGAGACGGTGAGAGCGAAGAAGGAGATCGTGATCATCAGAAACACTCAGTTCGTCGCGGATGTTGTAGAGAGCGTGGCGGTCCTGGGTGTTGACAAGGGGACTGGGTGTCTCAAAAGTTGAGTGCCAGGAGTTGTTACGGAGGGTTTCGATGACGGCTTGGAGAGTGGGGTCAGCACGGGTGGATTGTTTCACTTCAGAAACGGTCATAGCTTTTGGAGTGGTATGATCTGCTAAGAACGCGATATATTCTTCCGCCTCGTCGGATGCAGTGGAAGGGTGGGTTGTAGCGAGAGGGTAACGGGACAGATAATCCGCGGGGTTGGTTTTGCCAGGAGAACAGGAAATGGTGAAGTGATATGGTTGAAGCTTGAGGGCCCAGCGTTCTAATCGGGCAATGGAACGAGCAGCGGGATTGGTAAAGATGCGTTCAAGAGGTTTGTGATCTGTGATGATGTTGAATTTCGCGCCGTAGATGTAGAGATGAAAATGTTCACAAGCAAACAGTACACCGAGGGCTTCTCGTTCTGTTTGGGAATACCGTTGTTCTACGAGAGTTAGAGAACGACTTGCATAGGCAACAACAGAGTTGTCTTGGCAAAGAATAGCACCAAGACCAACAGGGCTGGCATCGACAATTATGGTGGCTTCTTTGTGGGGGTTGAAGTACGAGAGAACGGTGTCGCTGGTGAGAAGATGCTTCAGCTGATCAAAAGCGTGTTGATGCTGCGGTGTCCATGTCCAGGACGGATCGTATTTGGTAAGCGTACGGAGGGGTTCGGTGATGGTGGAATAATTGGGGATAAATCGGGAGCAGTAGTTGGTCATACCGAGGAAACTGCGAACTTCATGAGCGATGGTAGGGGGACTAGTATTGTTGATGGCAGAGACTTTCTTGGGGTCTGGGGAGAAACCATTTCTGAAGAATATATAGCCAAAGAACCCGATGCTGGATTTGTTGAACTCGCACTTTTTGGCATTCAACGTGATGTTTTTAGAGCGTAAACGTTCTAAAACGGCATGAAGCGCTTTGTCATGTGCGGCTTGGTCTGTACCAAAAATGACGATGTCATCGCTAACATTACGAGCACATTCGATACCACTGAGGACTTGTTGGATGGCATCTTGAAAGACTTCGGCGGCAGATGACGTACCACAATTTAAGCGGGTGTAGCGGCGAAGTCCTCTGTGCGTGGAAAAAGTTGTGATATAGCGGCTTTCGGGTGCGAGTTCGAGTTGGTGGTAACCAGAGTTCAAATCAATTTTAGAGAAAACAGTGGCAACGTTTAGATCATGAATTAGGTCATCAATAGTCGGTGTAAGATGACGTTCAAGAAGGATTGCACGATTGGGTTGGCGCATGTCGAGACAATTGCAAAGGCGAATCTCATCAGGGTTCTTTGGTTTTGGTGTCACAACGAGAGGGGACACCCAAGGAGTGGGGCCATCAACCGGTTCGATAATACCCTGGCGTTCAAGTTTTTCAAGTTCGGTGACGAGCTTTTTGCGAAGGTGGAACGGAATTCTCCGATGAGGTTGCGTCACGGGGGGTACGGAGGGATCGATATGTAGATGAACTTGAAAATCCTTCATCTTGCCAATACCGTCAAAAAGGTCAGAATATTCAGAACGTAATTGTCTGCTGCTAAGTGTGGAAAGCGGTGTGGTGGTGTTGACAGATGCGTTGGTTTGAGCGATGACAGAGATAAGTTCTAATTCAGTTGCAGTTTTGTAGCTTAAAAGGCAACCATTTTCGCACTTAATAACGTAGATAGTAGCAGGAGTTGTGCGTGTTTTCGATTCAACGCGAGTGTAGAATGTGCAAAGAACAGGTAAAGGTGAAGTACCGCCGTAACTGTAGATTTTCGTGGAGGTATGACGTAATGAAAGCTGATTATTCTGCGGAGATTTCGTGATGGCGTGGTAAGCCTTTTCATCAATAACATTAATGCTGGCGCCGGAATCAATCAACACTTGAAGTGGTACATTTGCAATCATAACTTTGGCTTTCGGTGTGGTTAAATTACGGACTTGGGAAATAACTACTGTGAAAAGATACTCGTCATCAGAGGTGGGGTATTGTTGAGTGTCGGTAACGTGGCAAATCTCGCGTGGAGGGGGTTGACGTGGAAAGGAGTTAAGAGGGGGTGGTTGAAAACGCGATTGAGGACAGGGGGAGCTACTTTCAGCAAACGGTGGTTTGATAGGTTTAGATCGACAACAACGGGCAAAATGGTTGATTTTTCCGTACGAACGACACTGGGAACCGCGCGTAGGACAGCTGACTTGACCTTGTGGATGGGGATAGGCACAATGTCCACACGTAGAGGATGGGCTTGGGAACTGTTGAGAACGTGGGAAAGGAGCAGAAGGCGATTGACGGGATTGAGAACGATGAGACATGCGAGTATAGTTTGAAAGTTCAGTTTCATCAGGCGAAATGGATTTAGATTCAATGCCAGAGTCTTGTTTTTCAGACATTTCCATGGCGCGACCGAGATCAAGGAGTGCTTTGAGGGTTAAGGATGATTCACGAAGTGCGCGTCGACGAAGATGAGACAGGAGCAGTTGAGGATTATCTGCGATTTGATTTCTTTCTCAACAGAGGTAAATTCGCAAGTTGAGGCCAGTTGGCGCAGACGAGTGGTAAAGTGATCAAGCGTCTCAGTTGGTTGTTGACGAGCTTGACGAAAGAGGTAGGTTTCATAATCAACGTTGCGTTGCGGCGTAAAATGTTCATTTAGGCGGTCCATTGCTTTCTTGTAGTCTTTCTCGTCACCGGTATCCGTTAAGGTCTCGAATATATCAAATGCTGACGAGCCAATATAGTGCAAAAGATGTGCGCGTTTGCGTGTCTCATCATCAATATCCATGGCAAGAATAAAGTTTTCAAAGCGTTTTTTCCATTTAGTCCAGCGTTGACTGGTCGCGGTGGGGTCGTCTTCAACATTGAACGGAGGAAATGGTGGTAAAGATAAGGCCATAGCGCATGTGGAGACATTTTGATCCTCGTCGCCAATGTAATATTCTTATAGTATGATAATACGAGGCACGCTCTTTGAGTGGTTATAACAATACTAATTTAATATCTTTGGAATGCTAGCTATATACAAGTGACGTCACATAAGTAATGACGTCAGTTATTACAGATTCGGCTTTCGCATGACATCAAGAATTATTCCGACCTCGGTCAATGTTATCTGCCTCAGCTTCGCTTCGGCAGATATCATTAACCTCGGTCTGAATAATTCTTGATATCATGCTCAGCCTCATCCAATAATTGTTTATTATCATTCATGCTGTAAAATTGACGCCATATTGATACAGCAATATAAGTAAAACTTACTGAACTTCAGACATCATCTTCAGGCGTGCCATCTAGAATCTCTTCATTTTAACAAAATTTTACGGATAAAGTACTAAACATACCTTTAAAGGGGCCATTCACAAAATACGCGACGCTCCAGTGCAGCGCCGGAATTGCCTTCTGTTATTATACGCTCACATGCAATTGACCAATCTCGAGTTTTCAATACGGTCACGTGCCGGTCCGACAGTAGCTTATTGTAACCAGCTTAAAGCATTTTTCTTGGTTTGAACTGCCTATTGTGATTATGTTTATGATTATTCAGCTCACTCCCCATCGGGGCTTTTCAGTGACCGATTACATCAAGTATTACGCTTACCCTAACTAAGCTTACTAGCTTAGACTATTTATTTTTACAACAATTGTGATATAACTTTCCTAACTATGTTTATCCTAACCCACCCTGTCAACTTGCCCTGTGGGGGGAAACCGGAGAGCTTGAGAAAGCCCACGACAATCGGCAGAGCTAGCGTTGACAGACCTTTTTCACATGAGTCCACACATGAGTCCATCGGCGAGAATCGAACCCAGGGCCTCAGGGGTGAAAGGCGCTTGCTCTGACCACTGCGCCACCGAAACCCCACCACTGATTTAAAGTTTTAAACTGATGGCAATTTTTTCCTGCGTGAGAAAAAGCCACTGCATGTGACATATTATGGTTGACATGATTTGCCAATAAGTTTATGAATTATTAATGAGTGTTTGAAGCATTAGTTTATTTCTGGCGCAGGTAAAAATGTCTAGTATATTCAAGGGGACATCATGATACAAGGTTTCAAACCACTCAGACTTATCATTCCAGTTTACCTACAGTTCAATCTCTGCAGTTCAATGATGCGAATTGATTTGCAAATTCAGCCGGTTGGTTCACTTTTATGTTACTGACTCCTGGTGCCTGTAATGTAGGTAGGTAGGTAGGTAAAAACTTTATTTAAACACGCTTGCTTCGTCAACATAGTGCTGATTTCCACGAAGGGCGTCACACAAACAATACAAAGAAAATAATTAAGTTAAAAAGTTACAATTTAAAAATAATATATACAAGAGTTAGTTTAGCACGTATAGCACAGAATCTTCCTCTAGCTTGTACATATCTCTCTTTTGAAGCAATCGGGAGTATCCGCCGATTTAGCTGCAGACGAAAGGTCATTCCATAACATAGCGCCGCTGTACTTAAATTTTCTTCTTAGATATTCTGTTCTAGGTACTTTGGAAGAGTTAAATCATTTTCGCTATTTCTGAGATTGTACGTATTTTGTGTCACATTCCTTTTGTAAAAAGATTCTTTTAGACCCGGGGCAGCGTGGATTTTGGATTTTTTTCTTCTGTTATCAAGTGTTTCCCAAGACAGGGTATTAAGAATGTCAAGTGACCTTACATCGTAAGTGGCACCAGTTATTACCCTTGCTGCGCGAGACTGCAATCTTTGTAGTTTGTCTTGAAGCAATTTACCACAGTTTCCCCATAGGGTGGAACAATAGTTCAAGATTGGATAATTGCTTCATGAATTATTAATGAGTTTTTGAAGTACTATTTAAAAAACGAGCAGGAGTGTTTTATTAGGTTTAAAGCCACGAGCGCGCAGCGCGAGCGGCTTTAGACCTAATAAAACACGACCTGCGAGTTTTTTAAATGGCTTCAAAAACGTTTGCATAATAAGTCAAATCTTTATATAAAAATCTTTATATAA